TGCGGCTCCCCCCCAGCCGCCAGGCTGAGGAGGGGGTGGTCTCTATCTGTAATTACCTGAGAGGACAATTAATAAGGAGCATAAGCGGGTCAGGAGCAGAGCGGAAAAACTCCTGCAACCCTTCTTTGTCCATCCTCTTCTACTGGACTCCAGCAGGCATGGTACCAACTGCCAAGACACTCCTTTGTTCAGCCTGCTGGCATGAGGCGATCTGGCATGAGGAAAACACCCCTTAATGCAGCATTTCAGGTGTACGAACTTGGTCCTGGTCATACTATAGGTTTGGGAATCGCATTCCTTCCATATCCCAAAATCGTAGTATTGTTTGCGGAAACATGCCAGCCACCAGGGCCTTTGGGTGCTGGAGTTAAGCTTCATATTTTATTTTTGCCTCTTCCGACAAAGGGGTAGAAATTAAATGTAAAAAATGAAACGCCAAGGATCTCCTCAGATTTGCTAACTCCAGCAGCTCAGACTGTTTGTTTTCTTCCCACCAGACCAGCGAGGAAGTGGCAGCTTTGCTAACGGGGCTGAAAGCTCCCCATCAGCAAAACCGGACCTCTACGTACCGGCCAATGCCTGGCAGCAAAGTCCCGGACACCATGGACTGGCGGGAAAAGGGCTGCGTCACATCGGTGAAGAACCAGGTGCGAAGTCTCCCTGCACCTCCCCAGGTCTCGGCGCCGCAGGGCAGCGTCTGAGTGCGTCTCGGGGGCTTTTGCAGGGCGCCTGCGGGGCGTGCTGGGCCTTCAGTGCCGTGGGAGCCCTGGAAGCCCAGGTGAAGCTGAAGACGGGCAAGCTGGTGTCCCTGAGTGCCCAAAACCTCGTTGACTGCTCCATGATGTATGGGAACAAAGGCTGCAGTGGAGGTTTCATGACCTGTGCTTTCCAGTACATCATAGACAACCAAGGAATAGACTCGGACGATTCCTACCCTTACAGGGCACAGGTGGGCACCAATCTGGGATAGCATGTGAAATCTGCAGGGAAACACAAGGGCTTTAAAGTGACCAGGGAAGCAGGGCGGTCGCTCGTTCCGCCCTCCTGCATACAGACCCTTCCTGCCCCCGCAGGCTTCCCTCTGTCGTGTTTTTTACCCATCTCACATGGCTTCTTTTCAGCACTTGCAAGTGATTCTTTCAGCTCCAAGGAAGAGGTCTTTAGATCTTTTTTTCTAAGGGGTAAATAACTGGACTGGGAGCCAGAATTTCTACACATTTACTTCTGTCCTAGATAAAGTATGAGGCATCATACTGCAAGGAAGGTAAAGATGAGTCAGGATACCCGGGTCCAGTTCTCAGCTCTGTGGATTATTCCATCCTCTGTAGTTTAAAAATGGGACATTGGTATTTTTACCATTTCAGCGGGCAGAGGATTCCAGTGAACTATGTTCATGCAATATTTTGAAAATCCACAGGTAATAGATGCTTTATTAGGGCTGCAAGGTGCTGTGCCTGCGTCTGGTGGCAGCTTCATGTTGTTGAGCAATAAGAAAATAGTGGTCTTGACGCTGAGAGGCTTGGTGTCCAGAGGCAAAAAAGATGCCCTGAAATGATCCAGTGCCTCAGAAACACGGCCTGTGGAATAAGGTCAAAGGAACAACAGCTTAGTCTAAGGAAGAAAAGTGAAATGTAAGTGTTCAAACATGCATAATGCAGCTACAGTGAGGAAAGGAGCTGATCTCTGTGTCCAAAGTGAGAAGGAGAAGCCATGGGCTTAATTTACAATAGAGGAAACTTAGGTTAAACACAAGGAGCATCTTCTGATGGGAAGCATGAGGAAGCAGTAACTTTCTCTAGGGAACGGGTAGAAGTACTGTCACTGAAGGTTTCTAGAAACAAGGTGGAGACTTCTGTTGAAATGACTGAGTTTATTCTTGCTATGGGGAAGGGAGACGGGCAAGGTGATCTCTTCAGGTCCTTCCAGCCCTCTTTTCTGCAATTCTGCATATTGAAAAATTATGTGAAAAAAAAAAAAAAAGAACATGAAAGAAAAGTGAAGAACATGGTAGCACAGAGGAAAAGAGGGCTGATAGAAAGCACTTATGTGAATGCCTGGTGGATCCCATGGGTTCCTCTTTTCACCTCACTCTACCAGAATGGGACATGCCAATATAACGTTTCCACACGAGCTGCCACTTGCTCCAAGTATGTTGAGCTCCCATATGCCGACGAAGCAGCCCTAAAGGATGCTGTAGCCAATATTGGACCAGTATCTGTCGCCATAGATGCAACCCAGCCCACGTTCTTCTTGTACAGGTCAGGTATGTCCTTTTACTCCAGAGGCTGTGCATATCCATGGCCGTAAAGCTTATGAAATTTAAATTTGGTGTGAATTTGGCAAGTCTTGGCTTAGTTCCTAAATGAAGCCATTAGTATGACAATACGTTAGCAGCATTGGCTGTTATCAGCAAAGACTATGTTGGGGGTTGAACTGAGTCCTACCAGGTTGATGATGCAAAGACGTGGCCTGGTGGTCTGATGGCATGCTTTCCCCAAATCCATTTTTTTGCAGGTGTGTATGATGACCCACGGTGCACCCAGGAGGTGAATCACGGAGTAGTTGTGATCGGTTACGGCACTCTCGATGGGAAGGATTACTGGCTCGTGAAAAATAGGTAAAAGCACCACAGCAAGTCACAGAACTCTTTTCATCTATACAGTGATATGCTTCTCGTGGGTGACATCCCACTGCTCAAATGGACATCCTCAGACTAAGAATTTTTTATAACAGCTGATACTTATATAGATTGATTAGAGGGAGCTCGGTTGAATGGTTGTGTAATGCAAGTTCTTATATAGCTGGAAGTTCCTATCAGTCCTTAAAATATTCTCTAGGAATTCATGCTTTGCCATGTCAAGGCAATTTTATGTCATCCTAGCAGTGTTAAGGCACTTTAAATGCATTTAAAATACACTTAACGCTCACCTTAAGTTCCCTTTATGTTGAAAGGGTGTTGTAGTAATTCAATATGGAATTTCAAATTACATGAAACTGTTAATCAAAACATTTCATCATAGAAGCAAGGAAGTCTGACTGTTTCATTGCTTTCCTGTAGAAAGCTCTCTGATAAAGACCTCAAAAACATTGTGATGTTGATAAGGCTGCATCACACTTACAGAAATTTAATTTTTCTAATGTCTAATTGTTTGTTTCCTCTTTGCAAAGCTGGGGTGTACACTTTGGCGACGAGGGCTATATCCGCATGTCAAGAAACCATGCAAACCACTGTGGGATCGCCAGCTACGGCTCTTATCCACTAGTATAGGAGTTCTTGCTTCAAAGCAGACTCTTGAGATTTCAGTTGAACTACTGATGTTTTGCTTGCATGAATCTACCGACTTCAAGAATCATCTTCTGTCTCAATGGGCAAAGTCCTCCTGTTAGATCAGTCTGTATTACAGGCCGCGAGGGAAGCTTTGTGTGGATCTGATAGGAAGATCCGGGACTATGATTAACAGGCATCTACTGCCTGCTCTTTCCCAAGTAAAACTTGGGATTTTCCAAAGCTTTTCCCAAGTAAAACTGCAATGCCTGCAGATTATAATGGACGTCACCTTTTCCCCTCTCCAGTTCAGCGCTGAGTATTGCCACCGTGACACAGATTTCACTCTTTGTCACTGAATGTCACTGAAACTGCATACTTTCTTTGCAAAATTAAAGATCAGCATCATTGTCTAAAAATCCTGTATGTGGTCTCTGGAGACGCAAATATGTGCCAAAGCCAGCCGGCCTGGCTCCACCCGGGTACTTTGTCACCTGGCATGGCTCCGCCATGCAAATAGCTCTTGCAAAATGCCACAGCTCCTTGCTACCACCTTATATTAACCATGCCTGGTGGCACACACAAATTGCCTGCTCGCTGCCCACAGTAGCTATGCCACGGTCAGCTTGTCCTTGGCATGGCGAATCCACAACGCTTTTCATTAAGAAAGTAGGACAGAAACATTTCCTCGGGAAACTAAAGATGTTTCCAAGGGCTTCTTCAGGAGGGGAATCTCTGCACAAATGATGTTTCCCTCCAAAGGACGTTTGTAACTTCGGAAGGGAGGATATGGGTCATCCCGTTGCTGCGAGGAGAAAAAGTAGCTGCTTTCAGTGGTTTCACGTCAACGTGAGTTTTTGTGATAATGACGTGTGAAATAAAAGTGCTTCAGCCTCCGTTGCACCAAGGCAACCTGCGAGCGAACACAGAGCGTTCCCCGTGGGGAGGTATAACCAACTCTGAAGGAAAATGGTCTTCATATCGACACTTTGGGCTGAGACTGCAACGTCATGAAACCTTTTCTTTAAGGATATGCATAAATGATGTTGGTACAATTCACCACAGGCCTACGTTTCAGCTTTAAAAAACGCTTACACCACTTTTGTTGTAGTGAACAGCGTCTGTTGTGCAAACATATATATTTAGTTGAGCCAGAGAGAAAAAAGAAAGGAAATGCATTACTTTAATTTGTGTGTGTAGGTTAAAAAAAAAAAAACCATCATCACATGATGAATTCACCTCCCAAATGCATTTGGGAACAATCCCAAGTGCGAAGTAATAAATATACAGCTTTGTGGGTTTATCCAATTTTCTATTTTCCAGAGGGCTATGGAAGTTTTTTGGTTCATGGAAGACACTTTTTTGTGGGGGAAAGCAGCAGTGCTAGGCTCTTCTTTCCCCTTTGCCAAAGCTTTGCTTAGTCTTTAAAACCTTATCAGCTGAAGACTTCTCCTTTGTGAGTATGCCAGATCTCTGCCGAGCACCTGCAGCTCCTGTTGTGCCCTTGAAAGGGGACCAAAAACATCGTTATCTTCAGCAAAAACATCAACCAGGGAAGCTCTGATGGGCCACGACTCTCAGTCAAAATACCAAGTCTTCATACCAACACAAAAAGGCCATGAAACTCTCTTATCACACCCATTTATTAGCAAGCGAGCAAATTACTGGCTTCTTATTGTTGGCCTTTTGCTGCTTCATGGAAGGTTACATGAGGCAGGAAAGAGGCAACTGTTGTGGCACGGCCTCATGGGGTGTATCCCCTGCAAACATCACCGTCACCAAGTAAAACAAGAGTTAAAATGCTCTGGTTGACCCATTCACTAGATGGCCCCGCAGAGCTGCACCCTGCAGTAAAACCATATACGTTGATAGCAACAGTAATAAACGTTTTGCTTGTTAAAATGGTACCAGGTGATAAAATGCTTCCTTCAGGAACAAAAAGGGGGGG